AAAAAAAAATTAAAATCAAGTTTAAATGGCCTAAAATGATATTGCACATACTCATATCATTTATAGTGATTTTCAAATATTATTTCTTTAGTACATTAATGTAATATTTATTTTATGTGATAATATATCTTTTGACTTGCTCGTCAATTTATTTTGTATTCACATAAATGTTCTGATATGAGCAATGAATACCACAACATGAAATCATACACTTTTATAACAAATTGTGACAAAATCTTCAAATGACAAAAATCAAGCAGATCTTCTGGTTATCTTCCAATTTGAAATATTTGTTTAAATTTTTATGATTATTAAATGTATCATCAAAACTATAAACACAATCAAAAGTTTCATAGCAATAATATTGCATCATAATGAACAAAATCTACAAATTTAAAAGCCAAATCATATCACCTACGATACAAGCATGTTTGCATATAATAAAACTGTATAAGTAATAATATGCAATTGAAAGGCAAGGTAAAAATTAATGGATAGAAACGGAATTTTATTACAAAAAAATTACAAATTAATTTATGTCAATGTCAATGAATATAAATAGCAATTAGATCATCACAGTTAATTCTTAATATGCATTTTCAAACCGCCGTAAATTAAATTTTTTAGCTTAATTGTTCAACTTTATGCTATCGATGATTTTCAGATTTGAATTTTTTGCTATCTTGTTTCCGTTGTTTGAGGAGAACCTGCTCTTTTAGAACTTAGAGCGTCATCTGAATCATTTTTAATTTTTTCAGGAAGCTTTTTATTGTCCCCGTGTAATTGTTGTAAACTAATAATGATTGCTGTCATGTTATCACAACCAGTACCATCACCCATTGTATTTGGTGCCAAACAGTGATCAAAAAGCTGAAATGTAAATTGCATAACTTTCAAATACTCAGCAATATAAGCAAAGCATAGTATGAATTAATACTAAGTTTACAAATCATAGCCACAGCATATATAAACAGGTAAGTCCCTAATAATATTTAAAATTACAAGTACAATTATATAAAATAAACAAATAAGTAAAATAGAAATTGAAAATAAGCTTTCAGAATCCAAAAATTATAATGATTTATCCGACTGATCATTATTATATTTATTTACAATGAACAGATATTTTTAAATAGGCAAATGTATATGCTCACCTGCTCTATTACACACGACAATTTCAATTCATCTCTATATCTTGATCTAACAAAATCGACTGTTTCCTGACTGTTCAGGTAATTCCAAATGCCATCACAAGCTAATATAATGAACTCGTCTTCATTTGTTAAAGTAATATGTTGAACGTCAGGTAAAGCAGTGATCATTTTGCTCTGCCGCGGGTAAATTTTTATTCTATAGGCAATTCATTCAACTATAATACCTTATTTTCCAATCTACACCTCATAATCTAACCAAAAAGAACTATAATTAAAATTTAAAATAGTAAGTATTGTGTATAAATAAAAATATTAGATTGGCAACTAAGTGTGTTCGGCTTTTACTCTTAGTTGGTTTTGATAGAGTTTTTAGGTTTACTGACATAGTTCAAATGTAATATGCATTTTGTTATTCAGAGTAGGCATTCCAGCTATCAATCAGTAAAAAAAGTTTCTTGATCAATTACAGTTTTCATTTGACATTCATTGAAAGATGAAAAATCAGATAATTTTTTTTTTTTGTCATATTTTGCTTTTATGTTTCTGCAAAGGTAAGAGGACATCTTTAGCTTACAAAATGTTATGAGCTGCTTATGGTGACAAAGTATTGAAAAAAGAAACAGCAGCATCAAATCAAAATTGGATTGTAAAACTTCGTTCTGGTGATTTTTCATTCAAAGGTGTAAAACACTCTGGTCGTCAAGCTGAAGTTGATTACAAAGAAATTGTTTACTTTCACTCTTACTACTGAACTAAATGTTCTTTAACTTATTACGTTTTGTTCAATCTTCATGTGACTCCTTAAATAGTAAATTATTCAATGATTATCATATGATGTCAAATTATACCTGATTCATTTTTTTGCTATCAAAAACCAGAGGTTTTCTAAGAGTTGGATAATGATGCTGCTTGAAAGATGACGAAAAGTTATTGATCAAAGTGGACTACACGTTACAGAATATTATTTTAGTTCCATGATAAACATGTCTTAAAATTTCTAACAAAAATCGGCGTAACTTAGTTGCCAACCTTAGTTATGATCCTATGCACTGAAGATTGCATTCAATTGGTATTGATTTCAATCAAATACTTTCCAAAGAAAACTAGGTCAAAAACTCTAAAGTTTTGTATAATGAAATTAATTTGCATTCATATTGAATTCATTAAAATTAATGACCTGTTTATAAGCATGATCTCCAATGGCCCTAGATAAATTTAAACCGCCATTAACTCTTCCATCCAAGGTCACCCTTCCTCCAGCTTTTGTAATCCTACTTTGTTCAGATTCATCTTCCGGCTTGTGATCAATACTCATATCTACTGCTTTGCCATTGCGGCATAGAACACACCTAATTTTTTGGTTGTAAATGTTATATAATGCATATATGTGATATGTTTCTAATAAGTGAGAAAATTTAAAAAATATACATTATAAACTAGAAACTATTGATTTGAGTTTACTCTACCGAGAATCACCAGCATTGGCTACGTAAAGTTCCTTCTCATGTATAATTGCTACGACAGCAGTAGTTCCACTATCACTACCAGGTTCCTCCTTCATATTTGCCATAAATTCGGTATCCTTAGGATCAGGAATGTCGTCTTCACAAGAATCTGACGATTCATCTAAATATTCTTCACAATCTTCATCATCATCCTCTTCAGATTCATTCGAACTAGCTTGATTTAAAAATAAATTTAGTTAATTATTTGTTCAACAATTTTTTTGTATATCATACCCAAAATCAATAATTTATTAACTATAGAATCTTGACACATACATGTGAATTTAATTTCTTTATATGCTCGTTTATATATAATATACAAAGACTAATAATCGGATTTAACATCAATAAAAAAACCATAGATTTGTTTTCAATTTTTTTCTACAATCTATACATTTTAGCTATAATCCTAGCCTTCATTCAGTGGTAACTAGAATAAAATTTAAAAACTAATCATAATTGAAATTTCACAATTATATGTTAACATTTAACTGTTACAAAAGAGTAAGTGTACAATATACGTGTTATCTGTAAACTGGTTGGATACATATAATGTTGAAGGACTTTTTAACAATACTTATTTTTACTAAGATTCTAACATGTATGGAACTGATGGTAGATATTTTGCATATTTTTTATTTTTCTGTAAGTAATTTAGTAATACTGTCCAGATAAAGCATGTTTGTTTCACATAACATGATAAGTTCTGTCCTTTTATTTATGGTTATAATATTTTAGATAGTTATAAATGATCCTTTGGTAATTTTTTTTATTCTGTATATTTTTCTCAGTCTCAATTGCCTTAGTTTTTAAATTTTATTTTATTTACCACTGAATAAAGGCTAGGATTATAGCCAAAACATATGGATTGTAAAATCAATTCTTAAAAGGAATTAATGGCTTTTTTATTGATGTTAAGCCCAGTCTTTGTTAAATGATATGTTAACATCAATTTCATAATTATGCAAAATATATATATTTATATGGGTAACAAAATACAAATTATAAGACATGAAAGAAATGAAAAAAAAAACGAGCAAATCATTACAGGTTAATAAAAAAAATTCTTTAAATCAGTTGACTGAATATAGATAGAATATAGTACATTAAAAAAAAAAAATCGATTTACTTGATTTAACAATCTTTCAAAAGTACATGTATTTACCATTTAATTCTGTAGCATTATCTGTGCTTTTATCATCTGTTTTATTTTCTTTTTCTTGCAATTTTTCATTGTTTTCTACTTCCGGTTTTAACTCTGTTGTACAGTTTTTGGA